ATTAGGGTTGTGTGTTACACCTAATGTTGTTAAATTAATGTTTATTGCATTATTGCAGTTTCATGTGTGTTACCATGATGGTGTTTAGTGTTTGTGTGAATGACACTGTGCACCTTCTATGTATGTTATTATTTAAAAGCTGCTTGTGATGGGCTTTGGTTCATCATGTGACTTTCTCATCACCTCCTGCATTTGGTGGTTATCAGTGTATTACAAAGCTACAAAACAGATTTCAGTACTTCAATAGGTTGGTATATTAACATTATATCAGTTAATGAAATTACGGTAACCGTAAAACCGAAAACATTGCTACCGTATTTTTTACGGTAAAGTTCCAGCAACCACAGCTGCCGGTATTTTACCGTAAATTTTACGGATTTTTTTTTTACGGTGTATTAGTATTGCATATGAGTGTTAATGATGTTTAAACCTCTAAACTATTAAAACTGTAATACTTGCATGCATGCAATTTTCACCTGGCTGTTTATATAGCGGATTTATATATTTTTCAATGAGCACTTCTGTTCAAAAGTAGGATTTTTTAAAATGTTTTTGAAATAATTATTTTATTGCTCAATGAAGCTTGCATTTATTTGTTCAAATACAGTGAAAATGTTCAGCATCATTGCTCCAGTCTTCAGTGACACATGCTATTTGAATTGCATATTAGAATTAGTGATGTTTAAATCTCTAGAACTCTGTATTAAAGTTGTAATACTTGCTTGCACACCTGGTTATGTTACTGTGGCTTTGATCATATTTTATAACACAACATGAGGAGCAGGTACACTGAAGTTTGGCTTTAGTCTTACTGATGCATAAAGTGGGTGTTTGCTTTGAGTTTCGTCTCTGTCCTCAAACCCGCAGGAGGACGTCAATGTCTGTGTGTTTCCACAAGGGGAACAAAACAGACAGATTCTGTCCTACATCTCTGACAGCTTCGCTTCATCTAAAAATAAACGTGAAGCGGCGGAATTAGAAGCTAATTTAAACCTGTCTTAGACCCAGTTCATTTGAATTCACTGCTCAAATGCATTTGTTTTAATAGTTTGAAATGACTGTGACTGGACACCTACACTGATGTCTCTAATGTCTCAATTGTTTCTATGTGAATAAACGGAGAGTGAATGGACACTTTGGATGAAGCCTCCTGCTTCAGAAGATTAAAATCTCAAAAATGTCTCAAACTGTGCTCATCTGCATAGATATGAAAATCTGCAGTCAAAATGTCAAAGATCTCAGTATGAGGGCTGCACGATTTGTAGAAAATTGTAATTTTTCTGATAAATATTTATTCATTCATTCATTCATTCATTGGGCTGCACAATTTGGCCAAAAATGCTGTGATTATAAATCAGTATTAACATACTAAATAATCCTAATAATAATACATTATTATTATTACACAAAATATTAAACAAAATGAGAATAATAAGAAACTGTCTTATTTTACTGTAAAAGAATCTAGCATTATTATTATTATTATTACCAAATAAAATTTTAAACAAAACAAGAAATATTACTATTGTATTATATTACTGTACAATAAAATAATTTCGTATTTAAGATAAATATAGGCTAATAATAATAATAATAAATTATAATATTATTATTATTACTACTACTACTAAATAAAAATATTAAAATAGAAAAAAGAAATGACACTATTATTTTACTGTAAAATAAAAACTCTAGTATTTAAGAAAAATATAATAAAAATAATATTTTATAGTACAGCTGTAAAATTACTTTTAAAGCTGCAGCACATATATTTATTTAATTACATTTCAGAATTTGCCATTTGATATAATTGTGATTTCCTTTTTATTTCAATTAATCATGCATACAAAATGATCTGAGCTGTTTTTCACATTGATTTCATATCTGTATATTACTCTCTATACTAGCTCTATACTAATATCTTACTGTATGACAACTATTGATCCATTTGGGCCTAATTTTATTTCTTTTTTGGAGGAAACATCTTGAAACTTTAATGAAACACAACTAAATCCTCTATTAAATGAAACCTCTGAATGATAACATCCTCCACTATATGTTTTTGCTTCTAAATCATGATAATTGCAATCACAATAGCCACCATAAATGATTTCTAAGGCTCAGTAATATTGGGGTTTATATTCACTCGCTGAGCAAATGTACTAATTACGCTTGTCCGTCTATTAGGGTGCTGTGGGCGGGGGGGTTGCGATAGAGGCTATTTACACTTAGTGAAAATAGCATTATTTTTTTTGTGATATCATATGCTATTTACACTAAGTGCAAACAGCTATAGATTCTATTTATACTATGTTAAAATAGCAGGATATTCTGCTAATTACTTATTGCAAATAGTGGCAATTATCTGCACCTCAGCATTGTAATACATTATAAAACAGTATGCAGTAATAACTTATTGAGTGTACATTTTAATTATAATTCAAATTATTAAATGGATGCCACCTTATTGGGTCAAAAGCCCTCCCTACACCTACCCTAACCCTACCCGATACTTTATTTTCAACTTTTTGATTATTTCCTTCATTTTTATTAAAAATAAATGCTTTTCTGATGTGATTTGAAATTTGAAAAGGGAGAAAAAAAGTTCGCCAAAAGGCAGATTCGAACCCGGGTCGATTGCGTCAAAAGGGGTAGCCTATGACACATGCTTAACCATCTACGCCACTGAATCTGACAATTGATGATAGTCTTTTGTAATGTTGACTAGCCCAATCACACGTTGGTGGGTGGAGTTACTGTAAATAACCTCTGCCAACAAGGCGGGCTATTTGCACTTAGTGTAAATAGACACTCCGATTTTTTTTTTTATTCCCAATTGTTTAACAGTTGCCCACAGAAAAAAACAGGGGGTGCTGCAGCACCCTCATCAGCACCCCCACATCCCGCGCCTATGCTTTCCATATGGCAGCGAGAGCGGCCCCGTCTCAACCGTGATGACAGCTCAAAAATGCCTCTTTGAATGAATTGTTTCTCCCGTCCAGAGATTTGCATGCTCGTTCACGAGCGATTAGCTGTGTTCTCCTCCCCCTACAGTTAAATCAAGGATATGCAAATGCAATTAGACAGAGATTGTGAGCAGCTAACGGTGGCACAGATGGCAAACGGAGAAAGGTGACGCCATCTTTTGGAGGGAAACGGCCAGTCGACAGAAGTGGCCGCTCTTTTAGTCAACTTTTTGAAGAGAAACATCCATTTTCTCATCTTTTTGGATGGAAACGGCCAGTCAGCAGAAAGAAGCCGCCATTTTCTCATCTTTTTGGAGGGAAGCATTCATTTTCTCATCTTTTTGGACGAAAATGTCCAGTCGGCAGAAGTGGCCGCTCTTTTAGTCATTTTTTTGGAGGGAAACAGCCAGTCGGCAGAAGTGGCCGCCATTTTGTCATCTTTTTGGAGGGAAACGTACAGTCCGCAGAAAGGGGCCACCATTTTCTCTACTTTTTGTAGGGAAGCATTCATTTTCTCATCTTTTTGGAGGGAAATGGCCAGGCGGCAGAAGTGACCACCATTTTCTCATCTTTTTGGAGGGAAACGACCAGTCGGCAGAAAGGAGCCGCCATTTTCTCATCTTTTTGGAGGGAAATGTCCAGGCGGCAGAAGTGGCTGCTCTTTTACCCTATTGAAAAAAACAGCATATGCTGATTAGGTATGTTTTGAAGCAGTTGGTTTAAGCTGGTCCTTAGTTGGTTATGAGTTGGTTTAAGCTGGTCCTGAGCTGATTATAAGCTGGTTACGAGCTGGCCCTGAGCAGGATCTAGTTGCTTAGGACCAGCTTAGGACCAGCATATGTCCAGCTAAAACCGGCTCATGACCAGCTAAGGACCAGCTTAAACCAGCTCAAACCAGCTACCATGCTTCAAAACATACCTAACCAGCATATGCTGTTTTTTTCAACAGGGTAGTCATCTTTTTGGATGGAAACGGCCAGTCGGCAGAAGTGGCCGCTCTTTTAGTCAACTTTTTGGAGGGAAATATCCATTTTATCATCTTTTTGGAGGGAAGCATTCATTTTATCATCTTTTTGGATGGAAACGGCCAGTCGGCAGAAGTGGCCACCATTTTGTCATCGTTTTGGAGGGAAATATCCATTTTATCATCTTTTTGGAGGGAAGCATTCATTTTCTCATCTTTTTGGATGGAAACAGCCAGTCGGCAGAAGTGGCCACCATTTTGTCATCATTTTGGAGGGAAATATCCATTTTATCATCTTTTTGGAGGGAAGCATTCATTTTCTCATCTTTTTGGATGGAAACGGCCAGTCGGCAGAAGTGGCCACCATTTTGTCATCGTTTTGGAGGGAAATGTCAATGTGTAAGTCAGTTATTGGTAGTTTGACTTCTTGAAAAAAAAAAGTGAATCTATGATGCTGATCTGACGCTGATCTGTTCGACCCGACGTATCGACTTCTGACTCAACCAATCACATGATTTTGAGTCAGGACTCTCTGTATGTTTAATTAGTTAGTTTTTAATTCTTCTGAGTAAGCAACCAACTAGCAGCCATTAATTTTTCAGATCTGATTTGAGCTTTGGATACAGTGAAATATTTGACCGCCAGGCCGGATACGATGCGTTCAAATCAAACCTATGAGCGTGAGCTGAGAATACCAATATTTTTGCACTAAAACATTATTCTTTAAACACTCTCTTATGTCCTAAATGATCCTTTTATGCGAATAAATTGATAATAATTATAATAATTTAATGTGAATGCGACAATCACACACAAATGTCGGAGATGGCAGAAAGGAGAATAAACATTACTCAGCATACTGTAGCAACCTCAAAGCAATGCCTTCACAGCCACCTGCATCATGGCAGTGAATTTTGTGAAAATTTAAAAATCAAGTTTTTACAGTTCCGTTTGCCACAGAAATGACACACGTAACATGTAAGTAATTGTGTTTTGAGTTCCAGAGATTGAGGCTGTTTGATTGTGTCGATGTGAACTGCACAAAGAGCCAATGAAACGCAAGCACTCACCTCCTCCTGATCTCCCATCATTCCCATCATTCCCGGCCTCCACATTCTCCTGCTGGAGAACACACATTCATCTCTCCATCTCTCCAAATGCTCCTTCAGCGCTCCTTACACTGCCTTCCCTGCAGACAGAGACGAGTGTGAGACATCAGACTGCTCCTTGTGCCTTCAGGTGCTTCATGCAAAGAGTTACAGTTTATGAAATGTTTGTTTCTACATACAGATAGGGGAAATAAATGTGTGTGTGTGTGTGTATGTGTGAGTGTGTGTGTGTGTGTGTGTTTTGATGCTTCATGTTTGCATGTGTTTTTGGTAATAATCTCATATGCAGCATTAAACAGCGTAGCAAAAACTAATAAAGATGACAAAAACAAAAACAAAGCACATCAAAATTACTAAAACTAATAAATAAAATTCATGAAAAATATAGACATTAAAAAAAAATACAAACACAACAAAATTGCTAAATGGAATAAATAAAAATGAATGAAACCATATAGACATTTTTAACAAAGGATAATACACAATAAAATTACCAAAATTAATTAATAAAAATTAATGAATCAATATAGACATTTTTTTTTTAAACTTTAAAAAAAACAACAAAATCACCAAAAATAATTAATAACAACTATATAGACATTTAAAAAAACAAAATGTTGAAATCCAATAAAAATGACAAAACTATACACAATTACTAAAACTAATAAATGAAAATGAATGAGAATTATATAGACATTTAGTCATTAAGCTATTTAGTCATATTTAGAAAAAAATTATAAAAATGACAAAAACATAAAATGACTAAAACCAATAAATAAAAATATATAATAAATGAATAAAAAATGACAAAATCACACAATAAAATGACTCAAATGAATCACTAAAAAACAACCTGTTTAAAAAAATAAAAAGAACAAAAACACAAAAATTGATGGATTTTACAATATTGATGTAAAGCTGCATTGAAAACTTTTTTACTTTATGATATAAGAGCTATTGGAATAAATGTGAATAAATATAAATGTAAGCTTTTTTTAACCAACCGTTTTATTTTGCATATGTGATTTTGACAAATGCTTTTATATTGGATTCAAGGTTTATATTTTCATTCTTGCATTCATAAATTGGTGGGTTGAGCATGCATGAGATTTAAAATGAGAATTATTTAAAATCTCATGCATGAGAAGCGTGAAGCATTATGTATCTCTGTATGTGTGTTTGCAGTATGATTCTCTGAATCTCAGGCCGACTGGAGACGTGTTTTCTGTGAACTTAAACACGCATGCAGTTCTGAAGCATAAGAGCTCTTTATTTGTTTCCCTGCTGGTTGGCACTTATAATTTGTAACCATAGTAACGACCCCCTTCTCCGCCGCATCCCCGCCATCGAGAAGGAAAGAGAGAAGCTGAATGTGATGCATGTGAATATTTGGGGTGAGTTTGTGCTGATGCTGATCCTCTGAATATGTCAGATCAGCTGCTTTGATGCAGGTGCCGGAGAGCAGAATAAAAGCGCTTCGCAGCTCATTTCACTAGTTTATCTGTGTCCATCTGTAGAGTCGACATGAAACCACAGCTGCAAGTCCATTTCACTTACATATTATGAAGTGAGAAAAACAGTATATTTAATCAGTACTGTAACCATTGCATGAACTTCTGAAGACGCTTTTTGTGACTGAAGGTCACGTTCACACTCCAGAGCATCACAGCTGTCTTTTTTTACTATTATATGAACTTTTATATGAAATAGGGAATGTTAACAGGCATTACTAAGTATTAGCAGGTTTTAGAGGAAGAAAAGGCTACACAGAAATTTGACTATTAATTAACATTATTTCCAGCCTTGGTGACATCAGATGAAAAATAAACATCATTTCAGATTTTTCACAGAAAGTTAACCAATGAAGACATACTTTTTTTTCTTTACAACAATGTGCATTGATGAATTGTATTCACAATAAGACCAGGGATCAATTTTGAGTTGAAATGCATCACATATGTCTTAGAAACAGGGTTAAGGTTAGTTAACTAAAACTAAAACCATAAAAAAACTTCTGTATTTTTTCTGTATTCTGTATCAATATTGAAATGTTTTATGTAAAAAAAAAATGATACAAAAAATATCTGACATAAAGTAAAAATTTATTTTATTTCAGATAGTTGCCAAGGCAATTTTTATTCATTATCATTCGGTTTAACAAAAAATAAACTAAAACAAATAAACAAATTAATAACAACTCTATAGACATATTTAAAAAAAAAAAAAAAACCTAGTAAAAATGACCAAAACACACAACAAAATTACTAAAACTAATAAATAAAAATGAATTTAAAAAAACTATATAGCTATTCAAAAACACAAAAACTAATAAAAGTGACAATACTCAGATTAATAAAGCTAATAAATAATCAAATAAAAAGCTATATACACATTTAAAAAATACAAATCACAAAAATACAACAAAATTACTACAACTAATAAATAAAAATAAAAGCTATATAGACATTTAAAACAATAAAAACTAGTAGAAATGTCGAAAATACAACAAAATTACTAAAACTAATAAGTAAAAAAAACTATAGACATTTAACAATATTTACAACTAATAAACGTGACAGAAACACAACAAAATTACTAAAACTAATAAATAAAAATGTTTAAAAACTTTAAAAGATTCAAATAAAATTCAAATGACAAAAACACTTAAACTTTAAAATTAAAGTGAAAACAGACAATATATTTTTAAAAATTCTAAATATGAAAAAACTATAATAGTTATATAAATGATACTAAAATAACGCTGCTTAGAAATGCAGAGACACCATAATTAACAACAACAAAAAATATCCAGATATGATTCCCTTTACAAATGCATTGTAGATTTTTTTTTATATATATACACATTTGTCCATATTTATATGAATGGTAATGTGTCCAGAAACATCCGAAACACCAGCATGGACAGCATCAATGTCAGTCGAGGTATTTCTCTTCCCTAAACGTCTGTAAAGGCCCCCAGAAAACCAACATTTATTTAAGCTGAGGCTTTGTTTGTGCAGCAGCGCCGGGTCCATGGGACATCACCTGCGCCGCGAGTCCTTTAAGAGCCGACCCTACACATCTCCTCACAATACACACGCAAGCATCCACACACTGAGCTAATTACAGGGAGACTCCCATCCCATTTGCATCTGAATCACGGGAACAGAAGAGGAGAGACGCGCTGGCTCCTATTTACTGAAAGGACAGGCTTGTGTCTTGAGGTTCTCCTACATAAAGAAGGGTAAACAAGGCCCCGGCGAGCTAATTGAGCGTCAGATCATTAGACTAAAAACACACAGCCATAGCAAATATACAAATACTGTACACTCTAAAAAATGCTGGGTTGTATTTAACCCAGCATTTTTTAGAGTGTATATATTCTTATATATTTACTGCATTTTAATATCTAATTTGTTTCTCTTTTTCAGCAGTGAGACGTTTTCTGGTGTTTCTCCTGATCAAAAAAAAAAAAGTCAAGAAGAGTCTCAACTTTGTCTCAAACTGTCTCAAAGTGTGCAATGAAAAGTCAATATAAACTCAAATATTTCTGATCTAATGATCTGAGCTGCTCCGCACTCATTTTATAGCTTGAAACTCTTACTGGATGACAAATACTGACTCGTTTTTTTAAATAAGTTATCAGAAGACACATCTTAGATGAAGTTGATACTTCAGTGAAACATAGTTGAGAAGCTCGCAAGTCTTCAGAGCCATAAAAGAGCAACATCTGAGATAGAAACTCCAATGCTGATTGGAAATGGTTTGAGAATTACACAATTTTACTCATTTGAGATCATATACTATCAATGAAAAGCTTGGGGTTGGTAAGATGAAGAAGTCTCTTCTGCTCACCAGTGCTGCATTTATTTAATCAAAAATACAGTAAAAATTTTGAAATATTATTACAATTAAAAATAACTGTTTTCTATGTGAATATGTTAAAATGTAATTGATTGCCGAATTTTCAGCATCATTACTCCAGTCTTCAGTGTCACATGATCCTTCAGAAACCACTGTAATATGCTGATTTGCTGCTCAAGAAACATTCATTATTATTACCAATGACGCAAACAGTTGTGCTGCTTCATATTTTAGTGGAAACTGTGATACATTTTATTTTTCAGGATTCACAGATGAATAGAATTTGAATAGAATAGAACTATTTCAAATATAAATATTTTATAATTATAAATGTCTTTAACTGTCATTTTTTTATAAATTTAATGCATCTTTGATAAATAAAAGCATTAATTTCTTTAAAAAAATAAAGATTTTTGAGTAGTAGTGTGTCATATATTATCATATTTATACACAAAACATGTATTGCAACAGTAATGCCAAGAAATAATGTAAAATATCATAATATAATTGTGTCCATGTATTTTTACAGGCCTTAAATGCTTAACTTTTTAATTAATTCAAGTTATGAGTATTTTAAAATGATATATCTGCCCTGACCATCAACAAAAGCTTATTTTATTCAGAACTGACGTCACCTTTAGATCAGCGTGATGCAGCTCTTCTCCAGAGTGATTCCTGGAGCCATTCAAAAGTGGGACGAATTCAAATTCAAGAAGGTTCTGAAGTGCTGCTCATTCACACACACACACACACACACTCACACTCATTTTAGCAAATGGCTGCAATATAACAAAGAGTGAAAAATTGAAGGGGGTCTGAATACTTTCCGTACCCACTGTATATATAAACAATTTAATTTACAAATTATACATTTTTTATATAAAAAATCTAATAAAAAATTAATTGTAATAAAAAAGCTTTTAATATATTAAAATGGATTTAAAATATTAATCAATATATATATATATTTCCACCTGATTTGGTTTTGTAGTGTAACCAGGTTGATTCAGTCATATTACATAATATTTTGAAAGTTATTTAAGCAATAAGCCACAGGATGTACCATGATTTTACCCCTTGTCTTTGGTTAAAATCACTGTAATGCACCGATTTTAGTGGCTTATTGCTTTTATAAAATTATGAAATAAATGATAAAGTAGCAGTAAATGACAATTTAATGATAACATAGCAATACAATAAAAAACACCTGTGTTACATAAATTAGTTTGTATGTGAAAACTGTCAAAACTTGTTTTATATTTTAGGTGATGCAAAACATTTTGCAATGCAAGTAAACGTCTCATAAATACAAACCTGAAGGTGAAGCTTTATGTAAGAAACAGACAAAATGAAATGCATGAGCTGCAGCTCCGTCTGTCTCTCTCTGTCTCGTCAGACAGCTCGTTAATTTGCACAACTTCTATATGTTCTTTTTCTTTCTCTGTACGTATATATTAGCGGTGTGACATGACCCTGGCGGGCTGAGGGGCTGTTTTGTGTCTGGCTAGCCGTGGGAAAAAGAAGCCCGCTCTTTTCACAGCTGCACTGCACCAATGGAGGCCCCAGCTCACCCCGATCCCAAACCCCCGCCTTCATAAATACATCTCATTATTCAAGTTCTAGTTTGCACAGAAATGTTAAAGAGGGCTGCTTTCCTGGACACTCCATCCATAACAAACAACAGCCACCTTAAACGTGCTCGTTTTATTCTTCGAACAAGCAAGACGCTGTTTTCAGTTTAGCTGGTTGTGCATTCAGAAAGAGTCATTTAAGGAAGTGCATTTGAATAATTATGAGTTTTTGTTGTTATTTAACACTAAAATAACACTGTTTTCAGTTTAGTTGGTTGTGCATTTAACAAAAAAAAAGTTGATTGTGGACATGAATTTATTGGTTATTCTTTAACGCTAAATTAACACTGTTTTCTGTTTAGCTGTCTGTGCATTGGTCTAGTTGGTTGTGAATTTGAAAACAGTCGTTTATGGACGTGAATTTAAATAATTATGAGTTTTTGTTGTTATTTAACACCAAAATAATGTTTTTAGTTTAGCTGTTTGTGCATATATAAATAGTAGTTTGTGGACATGAATTTTTATTAATTAATGGTTTTTATTGTTGTTCTTTAACACTAAAGTAACACAGTTTTCAGCTTAGCTGTGCATTCAGAAAGAGTTGTATATGGAAGTGCAATATAATAAATATTAGATTTGTTGTTCTTTAAATCTAAAATAACACTGTTTTTAGTTTAGCTCTGTGCATTTAGGAAGAATCATTTTAGGAAGTGACTCTTAAGAATTCTGGATTTGTGTTGTTATTTACACTAAAATAGCACTGTTTATTTGTGTTGCATTCAGAAAGAGTTGTTTGAGAAAGGGAATTTTAATAATTATGGGTTTTTGTTGCTATTTAACACTAAATTAACACTGGTTTTCGGTTAGCAGTTTGTGCATTTGGAAAGAATCATTTATGGACTTGAATTTTAATAATTGTGGGTATTTGTTGTTGTTCTTGAACACTAGAATAACACTGTTTTCAGTTTAGCTGTCTGTGCTTTCAGAAGAAAATCATCAATCATTGGTGAATGTAAATTTAAAAAAATTCTGGTTTTTGTTGTTGTTTAGCATGAAAATAACACTGTTTTCTATTTAGTCGTCGGTGCATTCAGAAAGAGTCATTTAAGGACATGAATTTTAAGAATTATGGATTTGTTATATAACACTAAAATAACACTGTTTTTGGTATAGCTGGTTGTGCATTCAGAAAGAGTCGTTTGTGGAAGTGAATTTGAATAATTATGGCTTTTGATGTTCTTTAACACTAAAATACAAGTACAAGTACAGTACAAGTCTTAGATAATTATCCTAAACATTATATGTTATGCACTGATACATGAATAGAGTATGTTATGTTCAAATTCCTCAGAATTCAGAATCTTGAAGTGTCTATTTAGAACATATTCTGTATTCTGCATTAATGATGTTTGTTTAATGTGCTATCTGGTTCATGTGCATTCGTTTTTGATAAAGAACAAAAAAAGGGTTTTTGTTCAAGTAACCTTTACTCTGAGTTTATTCTGATGTTTTGTAATCTCAGCGATGAAATAAACCATAAATCTGGGAGTATGCATTCATTAATAGCACAAACTACTGACTGTAGATCCAAAGAGATGAAAACCAAACCCTCTGAGCAAAATACTGCTATCCACACACACACACACACACACACACACACACACACACACACACACACACACGCACACACACAAAATGCATTAACATCCTAACTCTATTTTAGAAATGTACTGTGAATAAAACTAAATCAAATTAGGCAAATTGCACCATAAAATCGTCTTTATGAAGCACATATTACAATATATGATTCTAGTAGAATATTTACAGTAGCCGTCGCTGTCTGTGTGCTTTGAGTTTGTGAAACAGATTCAATGGCAGTGGATTAAACTGAAGATGTTTTACCTGTGTGGACTAAAGCAGAGCTCAACATCCATGAGACGCTTTCGACACAAGCTGAAATTAAAGAGACAGAGAGAACATTAGAATGAATCATATTTCATATATTCCACATCATTGACAGTCAACATTGTGGTCGTTTTCAGGGCTTTTGGAAGTGTTATTATCACAAGCTGTGTGTTACATGAGTAATAATTTTTGCATTTAATAATGCTCATGAACCCTTGATGCATATTAGGCTACTATATTAAAATATGCTTGCATCATGTTTCAACATAACAAACTACAATATTAGCGCTATAATGTCATGCTTCCTAATGGAATTTGTAAGTCATTTCACTGACACTCTCTTGATATAAAGCTGATTATTATCATGGAAGAAGAAATGAAACACAACACAAGCATGCTAATTCAAGCGCAATTTGCATTTCACCTCCAAAAAAATGCCTATAAATCTACAATAAGCTGTCGAATACGTAAAACGCCTCCACGGCCTGAGATGAGCTGGACGTATATTTAAGATGCATCCATGCGGCTCTGAGCCTTTAGTGTGTATTATGCTAAAGCTATGCTACGGCATAAGGAGCGACTGCTAGTCCAGGATTTATAATAATACAACGGTATTCTTCAGAGTACCATGCTACAGTATAAACCTGGGTTGTGTTGTGTATGTTATTGTACACTGTCAGTTTGTATTTTGTGCAGATAATGTGTATATTTGTGTATATTATGGGTTGTTCTCTTGGATTCATAAAGCACAAGCCAAAATAAAAATTAATTTATGTGCTTTTCCAGCTAACAAGAAACGTTCTCAGAATGTTCTCTGCAAGGTTTTGTCAAATTTATGAACAAATATTCTTTCAATACTATAATAGAATGAATAGAATGTTTATTCTGAGTTCTCTGGTCTTTGATAATGTTCTCAAAACATTAGCACAAAAATATTATACTTCATTCTTCATTATTTTTTACATGTTACGACTTGTTTCAGAATGTTCCGAGAACAGCAACATTTCCATAATGTTTGCAAAATCATAAAATGCAACATTATACATTTAAAAAAAACTGGACGTTTTGAATGTTCAGAGAACATGATGTTTTCATAGCATAATGGGAACATTAGAAAAACGTTCTTAGGAACATTCAAACATGTAATTTTTGTGGTTCATTTAATATGGATATTGAGGAACACTTAAATGTTTTTATGAATGAAATCAGTCTTGCATTTCCATATTCTTATTCTGATCCAGAACAAACTGATCTGTCAATTAGAAAGACTCTCATTGCCAGTGTTTCTACATGAAATGTGAATATGATGCCCAAATATTCCTTGTTCATGAATGCTCTGAAACATTAGGCCATCTTTGTTATTTATGCATTATTTACGGAACGTTTTATTTTAGTTAGACTAATGTTTTTTTAAATGTTACTACTTGATTTAAAACTTTATTTGAACATCAAAAAGCAACATTTCCATAATGTTTGCAAATCATAAATTGCAACATTCCCTTAACATTTAAAAAAAAAACTGGACGTTTTGAATGTCCAGAAATCACGGCATTTTCATAACTTAATGGGAACATTAGCAAAACGTTTTGTCTTTGTCAGCCGGGATTCAAGAACATATAATATGGATACACTTAAATGTTTTTATGCAGTCTCAGAAAAAAAAGATGCAAGAGCTATTAATGAGGCAGTACCTTTTTCAAATTAAAGGTACACTTTTGTACCTTTTAGGTACTTATATGTGCATTTAAATTACCAATATGGGCCCTTTAGACACAAATGTGTAACTTTTGATAATGTAGGCTACTGCCCCAGTGACAGCTTTTAAACCTTTTTTTCTGAGAGTTTGAATGATATCAGGCGTGCATTTGCATATTCTGATCCAGAACAAATGGATAGGTTAGAAAGACTCTCGTGTAGCTATATGATGCCCAAATATTCCTTGTCCATGAATGCTATGAAACATTAGGCCATCTGACTTTGGATTACTTTCAAAACGCACAAAAATGTTTTTATAACTTAATGGGAACGTTGGCATAACGTTCTTGCAACGCATTTTTGTGAGCTGGGATTCAAGAACATACAATATGGATACTGAAGTACACTATGAATGATATCAGTCTTGCTGGCTCATGCATTTCCATATTCTGATAAAAAATAAACCTATCTGTCCATTATTGTTTCTACAGAAACGTGAAAGGTTCCCAAATCTAACACTGGTCCATTTTACTTTGGATTGGTGCTTTCTGCGTGTTACGCTATTAACACCGCGTGAAACGAGCCCAAAACGCGCCGCTCTCGTGACGCGGAGACACCGGCGCTCCGTTAACCGCGGCGCGACAACAACCGCACAACAGACCGACACCGACATCCGCGTCAGGCTCGAGCCAGAGCAAAATACACGGCACCACACACCGGCAACACCGTCAAAGGCCCAGAGAGGAACAGTCGTGCACCTGAAACACACACGCGTGATGGATGACGCTGTGCGTAGCCTGAACGCAATATGCGTCATTAACGCATTCCACACACATTTCTACTGCAATTCAGTTTTAGGCATGCATTCTGTCCATGCACTTCCACAAAAGCCTCTATGACGCGCTCGATCCCGGTTCTCTCTCTCTCCGTGTCTCCGGCTCTGCGGTTCATGAAGTCAGTGGGATTAGTTTCTACTTTCGGTTCTCTAGCTTTATGATATTCATAAACTCATACAGCTAGATAACCAAAGAGAAAAACTAGCCCGTGCGTGTTAAAGGGGCCGCGGCGCTCCGGATCTGTGTGTGAGAATATTGAGAATGAAGCGCTGGTCCTGAACACATGCACGACTGTTTCACCACGATTCACAACTCAGTGAGGACTCAGAAACAAACTGAGAGCTTTTAGACATCGGCTTAATTCAGTCTCATTTCTATTCATCAGCATAAGGCACTTACTTAAAATCTCCCTCACACACACAGGTGCAGCAACTCAAATAAACTCAGTAGGGTTGTGTTTTGACCAAAAACCTAACAAAAACAGATAGCATTTATATATTTGTGGAGCTCTGATGTTGAACTTGGATATTTATGGTCTATTATTTACATGAACTGATCAACAGAATCATGTTTATTTCCATATTCACTCCAAATAGTTTTTCACAGACATGTCTCTGTTAAAACATAACATAGCTTAACTGCATGTGTTTGCACCTTTGTAGTGCAAGTATCAGTACTGTATAAAGCGCTATATAAACAAAGGTGACGACTTGCATGGATGCAATTAGAGATACAAATGAACTATTCAAAGACATACCTTATTTCTGATGCTCAGATCATTTGGTTCACTCCACATGCTTTTATAAATCCAAAGAGTGTTGGTTTCAGAGCCAGACAGGCCTGAACATCTGACTAAAGATGAAACACGTGCTTCAATCTTCAGAGCAGCATCTAAGAAGCAACTGACCTCATGACAAATGAAAAGCCCATCCCACATCCTGTGACTCCGCCTCTTTCTCACAAGTCTGCTTAGTCTTTTATTTCAATAAATGGGGACACACCATAGACTTCCACTGTTTTTATATAAAGTTCTTTATACATGCATTATACATGCATTATACACCTCAATCCCTAAAAGAAAACCTTTTGCATTTTTAGAATAATACAAAAACATTTTAATATATTTTATGTGATATATTGGAAAAAATAAACACACACACACACACACACATATATATATATATATATATATATATATATACACACACACACACACCAAAAAATTGATTCAATCTCTATATGTATGTATTAAAATCTATTTATCGTACTCTACACACATACGCTGTTTTTCTCATTTTACGCTGTTATTCATTTAACGTGTTTCATATTTCCATAGAGGCCCAGAGTCACTCCATGAATAGCATTCGTTACCATGACAATAAAATTACTACAATGAATGTGCTTTTCAGATGACAATGACCGCAAGAGTCTACATTTGCAGCGTGCTCTGAATATAGATATAATTCATCCCGGAAAACTCTAAAATAACAGCAGACATTAAGCCTCAGAAACAGTTGATATGAATGGATGATGCTGAGTAATCGGATTCATTTCTGATTTTACACACAGGCCTCTGATTCTCTGTGTCTGAGAGTCAACTATCGGCATTATTTAGGCCTTTATAATTTGTTAAAGTAGGTTTTATGATCCTGCACGACTTGTGTTTATGGATAGAGGCCTTGCACCATTCCTCATAATGCGCTATATTTAGGTGAAATATTTTCACACACACACACACACACACTGGTTTGCAACCATAATGGAATCGTCCACATGTCTATTGGTTTACATGGTGGAATGTTCCATTCTCTGCATACAGTGTCATTAACACACACACACACACACACAGCCATACACAACAGCTCTTCAGATCTAAAATTGGTAACGAGTCACAATTTGCATCATTTATGATTCTACAAAAGCCTAATTGGACGAAAATTAAAATGACGTTCATGTTTAAACAATCCGAGCATCAGAACAGAGTCATTAATCGACGTTTAAATTAAACTAATCATTTACTCGACGGAGTGAAAAAGATACTGTGAGCGGATGATTTAACGAGCTCAATAAAACACAAACACACTTCATTTGTCCTTTTATCGACACATTTTACACATTATTAGAATTTTAACATTTTATAGGCTACTTTAAAAAAAATGAAAGATTACTTTTAATTATTTTAATAAAGAGCATCCCTCTCTACACCATTCTGTCGCTCTCATTTATCTCTATTTTATGTTTTTTTGTCAGAGCGCAAAATTGCATAAATAACCTGTAGTTTAATACCATAAAATACACCAACTCTAAATAAACAGAACAAAACATTTGGTACTAAATTAAATAAATGTCTATATTTCTAATAAGCTGCAAATGTGATACGTTTTTGCTGCCGTTTCTATTAGAAAAAGACTTATTGTCTTTTTTATTATATTTTCTAATGTTTTAAAATTGTCCTCATTTTGTTTCTTTTCTTCTTTTTTTTTTGTGCCTGATTTCTCTTTTTCTTTTTGCCTTTTTT